GAGAGTAGTTACATCATCTATTCATTTACACTCTAAGTGGTTTCAACAATGTTTTAAATGATGTTAATTTACTTTGATTAAAGTGAGTTTTCATTAATTAAAACTTTGGACCCAAGTGATTACTTGGGGTCTTTCATCAAACTTAGAGATTTCTAAACTCCTATATTAATTTAAGAGTAAGGATAGCTAAACCTTCATCATCAAGAGTCTATTTTATTATACTTTCCTACTTAATCCAAATCATTCCTTCATTTATTTAAAAGACTAAAAAGATCTATAGCTTTGCATTTTGTCTATTTTGCACTAATAGTTTATAATTCAAACCCCCTTTTCCTTACCCAAATTAACCTATTTTTGATAACCAATCTAGACTAGGATTACCAATAAAATGCTTCTCGAGAAGAACACTGGTTACACCCTATACTGCATTATCTGGTGCAATCACTTTCTTGACGACTCAAAAGGCGACAATCCGATTTGATCAAAAAGTCAAGCACAGGTTTTGTACCTTCAAGGAATGGTGCAAAAGTAAATCTCTACTTCTCACTTCGGTAGTAATCCTCTAATCTCTTTTAGGAAAACTTTCAGAAATTTCCTCACTAATGGAATCTCTTCAAGTATCCTTAGCAACCTTTTATCAAGTATCTATCTACTTGAGCTTCTGTAACAAAGTTTAACTTGACATCTGTACATGGGAGTGTTTTCTGGAGGAAGGATAAGAGTTCTATTTCTACAGTCAAGGAGTATATTGGAAGATAACCAATTTAGGCCACTAATGACATCGATATAATAGAATAGCATACATATCAAATCAAGGGTATACAATAATACTCATACTAGATAATGCAGTTCATAGAGAAGCCAGAGGTTATTTTCTTTTTCCATGTGTCATTTCATGAGAGCATTCCATAATCCATATTTTTCTAGTCTTTAAGTACATTATATAAATATAAATACGACATAATATCATTCACAATCCGTTATAACATCATCATATAGTTTGGCAAAATGTTACATGACATTATATAACATTATATAATCCATAATATTCATTTATCCCAATATCAATTCCTTGCCCTTGTCCATGGATGAGCCACTTCCTATTTAGGACATAAATTGACATAGGAGGAATGAGATTTCATAGAAATCTCACTAGCAATTGAACTATAATTATCATGTAAATCAAGCAAGTTAAAATGTGACATGTTATAAAACTTCAAGATGTCCTCAAGCCACATAAAATCTAACACACCTTCATTTCAAACCCCATTATACATCATTTGGAACCATTCAGAATCATTACACGATGCTTAGAGTAGGTAAAAACCAAGATTTAAAGTTCTGATTTTAGTTACTATTCATGTAACCCCTAAAAATCGGGTCAAGTTTGAAAAATCATAACTAAATGTAGAAAAATCAAAATAGAGTGGTTCCAAGTCTCACGCAATGTTTATGACATGATCTACATAGGAAAAATATTCATAAGTATCAATTTCTCACAGATCAATACCAGTTTCCACACAATTATGTACTGTTCATTTGGTAAATTCTATAATTTCCAGTATTTTTGCCCAACTTTGAAAGGGCATAACTCTTTCCACAAAATTCTAAATTTAATGATCCACTACTTGATTTAAAGATAAAAATATGATCTATTAGTCTTCCAAATTTTAAATCCAGATTCAAACATTTGCTATTTATTTCGTATGCACCAAGTTTGGTCCTTTTTAGTCAAAGGTTATCCCTTAACTACCTTTGTTTTGGCTCTTTCATAACTTTTTACCCATCCTTAATCATTTGAGGCTTAACACAAGCTTGAACATACATTCTACTATGCTTTTACATGTTTGAACATAGACATACATGCTTGGATCCCCTTAGGAGCTATTATCCAACAAACATTTCCAAAGTCATAATATTACATAACAAGTTCCAAAATTTACACTAGGATACATTAATTGTTCATTAGGCCTCCGAGACAATTTCTTTGCCTTTGCCCTTGCTTGCACTTCCTCCTAGATGGTGTTAAACATAAGAGTGAGATTTCAAAGAAATCCCAGTAGCACAGAATCACACTTATCATGCATTCCTGCAACACTACGTGCAATGCCTTTGTGCATTTATCTTATTCATGTGTTCATGCTTTTATGCCATGGAAAGTAACCTATCATACACATATTCAGTGGACATAATGCCAAGGCAACATAATTCAAACATTGCAATCAACATTTGCAATAAAGCTTAGTCACATCATGGCACACATTGCACACATACACATTAACACATCAATGTAAGCAAGAAAGCAATCAAATGTAATTCAATGCTACCTTTTGGTACTTGGTCCTTGATTTCCTTTAAGTTCAAGATGTTTTCCTGAGGATTTGGCAAGGTACCTAACAAACCAACACCAATGCCAGTCATTCAACAATTATTCAAACACATTCCCTATTATTTAAACATTAAACCCTTATTCTGCAGTTACTCTCATATGAAATGTCATGGCTTTCCATACTTAAAGTATACGTTTTGGCCCATCAAGCATGGCCTATCCCCATGTCTCTTACCACAAATCTTGTATTCCCTTCCTTGGTGAATGGGGTATGTCCATTCTCATCTTGCTCTTCCTCCTCTATTAAGTCTTCTTAACAAACCAGGCCTTTTCCTTTTCTTATTATTATCGTAGGAAGTCACTTCCTGACTTGGCCTCTCTACGGATCTCTCAGCCCTTTGGGTTGCCTTGGTCGAATCTTAATGATTCTGGCTATTCTCCATAATGCGGCAGACCTCCACCGCCTTGTTAAATACTTCAAGTTGTTATGGGGCTACCTTCTCTCTTAACTCAAGTTTCAGCCCCCTGATCATCTTTTTCATAAACCAGCACTCATCATTCATGTGTTAGAGATAAGTGGAGTACCTAGATAACTTGATGTACCTTGCCAAGTACTCATCAAAGGGCATATTCATAGCTTGCTTTACTGTGAGGAATTCGACTTCCTTCTCATCCCTCACGGATTAGGAAAAGTATTTTAGGAAAAACTGATCTTTAAACACTTCCCAAGTAACCAGAGTTTCATTAGCCTAGAGGACCAGCTTGGCGCTCCTCCACTATCTGTCTGCTTCCCCTTCCAGCTTGTATATAGCCATATACGCCTTCCTCTCATATGGGCACTCTAATATAGCAAAGATCTTTTCTAGCTGAGTTATCTAATCCTCGGCCACTTGTACATCAAATGTTCCCTCAAAAGCTGGAGGGTATTGTTTCCTAAATTTAATAATCCACTACTGTAGCATATCATGTTCTACAACAGGTTGAGGTCTTACAGGAGTGGTGTCCTATTATTGCCATTGTGGTTGTGGTATGGGCTGGGCTGTCCCGGCTACACCTTATCTGGGTTGTTGTAATTGTGTCAATACTACTATTACTGCTGTAGCTATAGCAGCATCTCTTTCTTGCTCTTGCCTAGCGAGATGTGACATTAAACTACGAAAAGAACAAAGCTATATTATATGCTAAACTTATATTTCATTTCTATTTTGTATAATAGGTAGCATAAGTTAGCTATACATGACTATCATTCACACAACATCTTGAAGGCTTAATTTATAACTAATAGTCATCTATGGGAAGTTAGCTAAAAGAAAAGGCTCTATAGTGTTAATTATCTTCAAAGAGATAGCCACTCTCCTGATACAAAGCCTAAAGAGTCCGTCAAACCATATATCTGTGTTAGAGAACACATAAAATAAAGCTCTTAACTAAGTTATGTCATCTAGGGTACGATCTTCTTTGGTAACCACGTAGTATAGAACCTTGATCTAATACAGGAACTGAAGATAAACTACAGCCACTTGATTCTCATTTCGCTTGATATGCCTGGCCTAGAATTTGAATTCTTTTAACAGTGAACTATATGTGGGGAACTCTGTTGGCAGTGGTAAATACAGTCTCACACTAGATCTAGCTTTATTGCTGTCAAGTCTAGGTACTGGATGACTATCACACCTTACTTTTAGACCACATTTTATCCTAGTTAGAACTATTTGGAACCATTTCTTATCGTTTTAGGCTAGAAAAATTCAAACTTTAAAAATCATTAAATTCATATTACCCTAACCAAGGCCAAATTTTGAAAACTCATAACTAATTCTAAAAAAATCAAAATGAGATGGTCTCAAGTTCTATTTAAATCTCTTAATATGATCTTTAGAGAAAAAATACTCACTAATATCCAGTCCATATCAATCAATTCTAGAGTTAACGCAAAGTGTACTATTCATAAGGTAATTTTTCAATTTTTCAGAATTTATGCCTAACTTTGGATAGACATAAATTTTTGTAGAAACACTACTACAGATCTGCTAATATTTAACGGTTATTTTTCTCATATTTGACGGTTCTGGACTGTCAAATATGAACGCATCATATATTCTCTGGGGAGCATATTTGACGGTTTTAAACCGTCAAATATGAAAGAAATACTTGACGGTTCCTGGTTAAAAACTGTCAAACAAGGTCACATTATTTGACGGTTCTTGCAAAGAACCGTCAAATAAGGTCAAGACATTATTTGACGGTTCTTTGCAAGAACCATCAAATAAGGACCTTATTTGTTGGAGAGATTAAGTGGCTTCATTTTTTATGATATATAGTTATTTTTTATTTTTTATTTACAAGATAATATAATTATTGATAATAACAAGAGAATAATACTAAATAAACAAATTATATTTATGGAATTAAAAATCCAATACATTATAGATAAATATCATACATTTGGAAAGAAATTAATCATTTGAACACTCTGTATAAAAGAACATTGCCTCTTTCTTCGAATTCTAAAAGAAAGTCTATTAATGAAAAATTCCATGATGTAGAACACCACTGCAACAATATTCTCGAATGCCCATATCCTCTGTCTGCAAAATATCAACATTTCTAAATTAGTAGCTATTTGAAACCCCATGTCACTTCTCAAATATTTAAATAAACAAATATGCAAAAGTGATTAATCACTTCTCAAATATTTACAGATAGCACTCATCAAAGTCAGAGCACAAGATTTAATATATTTTTGACCCATAATCTCATACGAAGCCCTGTCCTCAAAGAGCTGAGGCCAAATCCAAAGTTAATTGCCCCAGCCAAAATCATTATAAAACTCTCATCTTAAGAGTTAATATCCTAATTTCATATTCACACAGAGCAATATCTAAACCTTCTACTTATTGCCAGCTATTTTCCTTGTAGAAGCAACACCATATTGATGAAAGTCAAAATAAGCATCCTACATTCAGTATAGATATTACAGCATAAGTATAGATATGTAAACAATAGGACTACCAAACTTAGTTGTAGCTTAAGTTGCTAGCTTATGATCACTATTTTAGTAACCGATAATCATATACAAATCCAAATTTACCTTATATCAAACTCTTCTGATTTCTGCATTACTTCTTGAGCAGCTTTAACAGCTTGATTGTTCATACCAAGATTAGAACAAAATCGCCTCTACAGATTATGATGAAACTAATATTAGTGATACTAAATTAATACTAAAAATGATGAAATGTGTTCATTAGAGGAGTGAATAACCAGTCAATAGATCGAAATCACTATGTATTCTTTTGCTCGGCCAATTTCCTTCTTTGTGGCTCCATTGGCAATAGAGCAAATTTCTAGTCGAAATCCATAGCTTCAAGAAAGCTCATTTACAAAAGAAAACATACATTGGGAAGCATATATCTAGATGTTAAAAGTATCATAGGGTGTACCCTTTACAGTGCGTGGCTTGTCTTCTTATCAACAAGCAATGTAGAGGCAAGCAGCCACTAATGCATCCTAATTTCTTCTTGATCTTCTAGACTTTGGTCTTCAACCCTCTTATATATCTCATTAGCTTAGTCCTTCAAATCAAAAGCAATATGAGAGGAACACACGAGGTTAGAATTTAGCCATTACCATCTCTAAAAACACTTTTGAGAGACACTTCCAATTATGGCTGGGCATGGAAATACGTAGACCCACACTTTCCAATATCAATTAGAATCTAGCTGTCACTAGTTATAAGGATAGGCCTTTACTTATTTTGAACTAGTTACCACTATATTCCCTCTCTTCTTTCATCTCTTCCCTTATAAAAAGATGTTTTCAACACCATGGTAGGATCTGTCTAGGGATGGGCACACATTATGATGGCTTGGCTTATTCATTCCCTACCTTCAAAATTAATTTACTCGATTTACCAAAAGGATTCAAACCCCTTTAATTTCTGTTCCCCCAAAACAAAACAAGTTTATTAAGACCATACTAATTAAGTGAAAGTTCAAACATACTTGAGCAGTTTCCTTCATTATCTGAAGGATTAGTTGCATATAACAATTGAAGACACACACGCACGCGCACGCACAAATCAAATGTAAACAATAAATACTATTTATTCTGATCTGATACCTTTCTCTAACAGTACTGATCAGTTCTGAGTCCCAATGAGCATATAGTGCCTTACTCTTTTCCAGAGAGGTGATTGAGGCCAAGTCAAAAATACATCTAACTGCCTTTCCCTATGAAGCCAGAAAAGCCATATTAGAAGTAACATTTACATGCGAAGCATAAAGATATGGAGGATCATGAAATTAGTGCTGTGATAAAAAGTTGTCCAAAATAAGAATATGCCATACCTTGATAGTTGCAACAAGTCCCACCCTAAAAAATTTATTAGTCACCACATTTGATGATTATTTAGTTATCTTATTTGGAATATATAACAAATAAATTCAAATTTTGAAACCCTAAAATCTCTTTTGCAAATGATCCCGTTAGACTATATCTCTCCATGAAGATATCTCCCTAGTGCAAATCCTCTTCGGCTTGGGCTTGAAACAGTTGAAATCAACAAGATACATAGCGTTTGAGTGGCTCATGAAGTAGAAAGTGATGAGGAAGATGATGAGACTAGAGCAAAGAGTGATGAAGACAAGATTGTACTTGAGATTGTCCTAAGGTTGGAGGAGTTCGTGGAACGAGATGGGCAGTAGAGAGGTAGTTGGAGGTAGAGGTGGCGACAAGGATAGGAATCGGCGAGACTTGACGGCAAGAAGGGCTGGAGTGAGAAAAGTAATCAAGGTCGGGAGAGGCAATTGTGGGAGAGGGGCGGAAAAATATTCAGGAAGAGTTCGATAAGAAGACTGAGGGTGATTAATTTTTTTTGACAGTTAATAAGGAGAACCGTAAAATAAATATTTTTAATAAATTATAAAATTCTTATATAATAAATACTAGACGGTTTTATCTAGCACCGTCAAGTATTTGTTAATAATACTTGACAATTTTTAATTAACAACCGTCAAGTATTGTTTTGCTATTTAGCGTCTTCTCTTATTTGACAGTTTTTAGAATAACCGTCAAATATTTAGCGTCAAATATGTATAAATTTGTAGTAGTGAAAACTCCAAATTTAATGAAATACCACTTGTTTAAATCCAAAAATATAATCTATAAGCATACAAAGTTTTAGCCAAAATTTCATTCATTTGGCTAGAATTTTATTGGTGGAAAAATAAGGCATCATTATGGTTCTTTTATCCCTTTTTCATGCATTTTCTTGACTTTTCTCCTCTTTTAACCTCATAGGACCATTTCAATTACATATCATATGTTTAAACATAATTCCTTAATCAAATATTTACATGCATGACATCCTTGATCATCATTACAATAATTCATGATAATCATACGTAATTACAAAATTGTTCTTCTAAGTGACATTAAACTCAATTCTCTCCCAAGATAATCTCCTTTCCTTTCTCCTTGCTCGGTCCAACCCCTAGTTGGTAGATATTTGAACATGAAAGAATGAGATTTCATAGAAAATATCAGTAGCAATGAATCACAATCATCATGCTAATCATGCTATGTAAAAATATGACATGTTATCATGAAACTAGAATTATCATGCAACATTTCATGTGCATTTCATTGCCATGGAAAGAGAGCCACAACTCAAGCTATTGAACCATTCCACATTACATATTTTCAAGGCATATTTGATATAGAATTTCACACATAATCACATAATTTTCTCAATCACATCATGGCAATATAAACCAAATAACACCTACACATTTAAACAAGCAAGAAACAATCAAATTATGAGTTCAGTGCTACATCTTACTTAAATATACAATTTGACCTATTCATGTATTTGGTGCTCCTCTTTGTTTTGTTGCATAATACCTATCAATCCAAGTATAAACACATTCCATATTACCAATAATTCTAAGCATAAATATTATTGCTTACTGACATACTCAAATAACCCCTTTTTTCTTGATTTTTAAAATTATTGTTTTCTCTTTGTCTCAACCAATCTCTTCGGCTATTCCTACACAATTTTTCATGTAGAATCTAAATATCAAATCAGATTTAACAAAATCATACTCCTTTCCCCTTAACTCATGTTGGTTGAATAGTAGGGTTTATAAGTCCTAAATTTCTGTTTTTGATTCCAATGATTTTAAACACTTTTTCTTGGTGTTCCCCTACACAAAAACACCTTTTAAACTCATTGGAATCATCAAATCACATTGAAACAATTTCTAACCTCAAGAACATAAAATGAAATGCTTAACACCCTAACTTTGGTTTTCTTTCAAAATTCAATCTACACATCAATCACACACATCATTCCATACTCATATTTATGATTTCTATCCTTTTCTAATTCATTCTTAACCAAACTGAATTTTGGCAGCATAAGGCTTGTATTTGTCATGAAATTTCAACCAAAGCAACCCATAAATCTAACCAAAATCAACCTTAGACATACCTTAATGGATCCTTGCTTGGAGCATGATGATTTCCCCTTGTTTTGGAAGGTTTTAGGTGCTATTTATGGTTGATTTTTTGGTTTAGCAGAAGTTTTCCTATTTTCTCCAAGTTTGGCCGAATTATGATCTTTCGGGGGGTATTTATAGACCTCCCAAGCTGACTATTTCCCATCCAAGATGGCCTCATTTTCTACCACCTAAAGGGATATGTGTCCCTCTTCATAACCCTTGAATTTTAGATGAAGCTAAGTGTCCCTTTACTCTTAATTTTTCTTGGTATTTTTGGTTTAAATTGGGCTTAGACTCTGTTAACATAAGAGACCATGGGCTGCACAAATTTTATGGGCTTTTTGGGCCAAAATGAGTCCAAAACTGATTGGATAGGGAAGGAAAAGTGTGGCCCAATCAAAATTATCAATTTCTAACCAAAACTCACTATATCGGTTACTATTTCCTAAAATAATTCTGAGCCTCCAAAAATTCATTTTTCTCTATCAAAAATTCTTTTTTAATATAAAAGGTCTCATGAAGTTTTTGGAAATTTACTTCTACCTCTAACCTCCTGTATTGGATTTTCTCCGAAATCAGGTCTTACCAATAAAGTTTCATCATAAAATATCCAAAAATAATTCCCTTCACATCCTGAGGCCAAAGATAATTCTTCAATTCATAATAATATGCTAAATAACTTTTTCATATTTTTCCCAAATTTATTGGGGCCTTAGGGTAGCTTAAATAATTAATTATAGTCAAAAATCCCTATCTGATTATAAAATACTAATAAATCTTGAAAATTATGTAATCAATTATTTTTACCCCTTTTTCACTTATAGGACCTCATATACTATTCTAAATCCTCAAATCTCCAATTTTTTCTAATTTTGGAGAATTTTTTAATTTTTCTGACACCCCCTTGCAGTCAATCCAACTTATACCAGATATTACAAAAATATTAGTCCGAACCCTGTTTGGATTTTATGTCATGTATGGCTTCGTTAGCCAATCTACTTTCCCTATTGGCCCTTGGCTTAATTTTTCATTCCTATTATCAGGGTTAAAATTTATAGGATGTGACAATAACTCCCTATATCGTCTTTAAAATCCATACCCCGTGCTGCATTCAGTGCTACAGAGGAATAAATTCCTTCTAGTGTTGTGGCATAGTATCTGTATGGAGGCTTAGGGTCATCAGGATCTTCTTGTTGTTCACCATGATATCACTATGGATAATCTTATCCTAGCATCCTCTTGTTAACAGTCTCTTCAAAATGACCTTCATTAACACATGCCATCTTTACTATTTTCTTGCACATCTTTTAGCATATAACTCACACAAACACTTAACAACCAAATAGTAGAACCATTCAAAGCCAAAACCTTTGCTCTTATACAAAAAATATAACACCTTAATTTTAGACCATATACGGAGCGAAAACAAGTTAATTGGAACCATATTATATGGCATTAGGCTCGAAAAAACCTTACTTTAAAAAGTTCATTCTCGAGTTACTGTTCACTTGGTAATCCTGGTAATCCTAGTAATCTTAAAAGTTTTGCTGACTTTGAAAATTCAAAATTAATTCTAGAAAAATCAAAATGAAGCAGTTATTTCAAGTTCTATTTGAAGTTCTTTCAATTCTCTACATAGAAAAAATAGTCCTTGGTTCAGTACTCATTCCATTTAGGCTCCATTTTGCTTACAAAAATCACTGTTCATTTGGTCAATTTTAATTTTTCAACTTCTTACCATAAATCCAAAAATTCATAACTTTTCATATATAACTCCAAATTAGATGATATATCACTCTATTTAAAGGTTAGGATATCAACTTTAAGCTTACCATATTTCACGATCAGATTCTAATGTTTGCCCAAAAAGTTTGTAGGTCAAAACTTAGGGTTTTTAAGGCAAATAATCCCTTTTTAATTACTGTATCTTATGAAATTAGATCCTTATCTTCCATGTTCATCCACAACCATTATAGAGATTGCTATTTTTTTTTACAAGAAAGTGTTAATCAAACTAAATTTTGGGCAAATTTCAACTAAGTCCCACAATATAGACTTAATAAATTTTTAGGCCCGAAAAAATTCAAAAATTTAATTCCAAAATGAAAGTAAATAACAAATAAAAAGAAAATCTAGCCCTTAAAATTTGAAGAAAACATCTAATAAGCTTTATTCCATATGTAGAATTGTTATGTTTTCATATGTTGCTGTAAATATGATATGCTTTGTTGTAATCGACAATACATATAAATGTTATTTTTCTATTATCGATTAGAAATTTTTATATCTATTCGTTCTTGTGAATGTCCATGCATATAGTTGTTATTTGCCTATTTTTATTGTAAATTTTTATATGTAGAGTTCTATCTTTTTAATTCTTTGTTGCAACATTTTGTCTGTGGGCTTGCTATTTTTCTATTCTTTATTCTAAATTTTCATGTACAATTGCATCTTTTTTTATTGTTTTGTTTTAATTAAATTTATTAATTTTTCATTATTTATTGTAAATTTTACCTACAAAGATATGTCATATTGATGAAAAGTTACATACATTTGCTCAAAATGAACATGTTATTTCACCGCATCACTTGTTCTCAATTTACACTTTCAAGTTCGATACATCACTTAAAATGCGCTGGTTAGTCTTGACTAATAACTGGTCATCGATCTCTTTTTTATTTTTCGTTTCAATATGTTTTGTGTTGCTAGTTTTAGATCTAGCCGCGCCTTTTATATTATTTTGATGAGTCATAAGAAACCATAACAAGTTAGAGCTCATTGCATTAAGTTGTTCCTACAGCACCATAACAGAAAATTACAACAAAATAGACAAAGTATAAATCTATATATTGCAATTTACAATAAAAAAATAACAACTATACATGTCAAAATTTATAATAAAAAATAAAAAGGTATCACTCTACACATGAAAATTTATAACAAACAATAGAAAAATAACATTTATATGTATGGTCATTTACAACAAAGAATAAAAGAATAACAGCTCTACATATGACTAATTATAACGAAGAATAATAAAATGTTAGAAATAAAGAGAAAGAGAGAAACCATTGGAGATAAAAATTGTGTGTATTCAAGAATGAGATGAAAAAATCAATATGTACAAGAGAAAGGAATAATAAATCTTGATAAAAAATAATAAATCAGGAGATAAATACAAATCAATATAAATCAAATTATATCAAAAAACTATATTAATACCCCTTCAAACTCAAGATTACTTGAGAGAAAGCAGCTTGAGTTTGTATACCAAAAACTAGAAGCGACCAGGGCTTAAAAGGTTTATTAAACAGATCAGCAGGTT